TTGTAATCACATGGTCGTTTCTTGGCTTGTTCACTTTGTCTCTTCGTTGATTTGCCAGAGTATACTTTGGATGGATTATGCTAAGGAAATCTGGCGTGATCTCAAATCTCGTTATTCCCAAGGTGATCTCCTGTTCACTTTGCAACTCGAGGCATCTTCCATTAAATAAGGTGATTTGTCAATTACAGATTTCTTCACCAAAATTTTTTTCTATGTTGCTCAACAAGAACGCCAACTCTCTGTCAATGATCCTTTCACTGTCGAGACTAAGCATAGTTCCATTAATGTTGTTGGCATGAATTCCACTTACACTTTTTGTGGTCGTTCTAGCCATATTGGGAATACCTGTTATCGCAAACATATATGGTTTTCCCCTCAACTTTGATAACAAGAACGGTAAAGGCCTGTCTCATCATGGGAAAACTTGCACTCATTATGGCAAGAATGGCCATACCATTGATGTGTGCTATAAGAAACACTGATTGATTTCCTCCTGGACATCGCTTCTTCAATGGCAAACCTCCATCTACTAATAACATTGTGACCGGTGAAGGAAAGGTCATAGACAAGGGTCCCTCTACTATTGCTACTAAGCTGCATACTACAAAAAAAATTGGATTTAGCGACCACCTAAATCGGTCGCTAAATTGCTAAAATCGGTCGCTATTTGCCTTAGCGACTGAATTAGCGGCCGAATTTAAGTAGTCGCAAAAACCCTAGTCGCAAAGCTATATAGCGACCAAAAAATTTTCGGTCGCTAAATTTTGGTCGCTGTTTAGCGACCGAAAATTTCGGTCGCAAAATGGTTGCAATGATTTTGGTCGCTGATGTGTATGGGGACCAAATTAGTGACCGAATAAATCGGTCGCTAAAGATTTATTTTTTATTTTATTAAATTTTATAGACGTTGCAAATTCGGTCGCTACGAAATACTCATATTTGGCCTCTCAAGGATTCTATTTCACAATACTTCACTTTTCAGCATGTTTTGTCCTTAATTACACAATTTTTGGGAAACTTCCCAGAAGGTCACCCATCCCTATATTACTCCAAGTCAAGCACGCTTAACTGTGGAGTTCTTATGAGATAAGCTACAGAAAGGCATATGCATATTGTCAGTATAGGTAGTACAAATTAATTCATTTAAGTCATCCTCAAATATACAATCTCATACTTATACTATCTTTGGATCCCTCTCATTTCGGTGTATCCGAACCGTTATAAAAATATAATAATATATTTAATAATTATATTACCAATAATAATAATTATATTATATTTAATTAATCTTTATTTATATATACTTACTTTTATAATTAACAATCTACTTATTTCTATTTAAAATTAATATTATGATTTTAGCTACCGATTTTAATTTGGTCGCTAAAATTATTATAAATAATAATATTTTATTTTTTAGCGACCGATTTTAATTTAGTCGCTAAAATTTTTATAAATAATAATATTTTTTTTATTTTTTTAGCGACCGATTTTAATTTGGTCGCTAAAATTATTATAAATAATAATTTTTTTATTTTTTTAGCAACCGAAACCGTTCCGTCGCTATTTTAATCAACAATTATTATTTTAGCGACCGATTTAGCGACCGATTATTTGCCACTAAAAAATTCGGTCGCTAAATTGGTCGCTAAATAAAATTTGCAACCAAATCAAATTCGATCGCTAATTATGTCGCTATTAGCGACGGAAAAAAATCGGTCGCTAATTTCGGTGGCTAAATTGACTTTTTTTGTAGTGGCAAGAGATTCGTTTCACACCACAACAGTATCAGGCTCTATTGGCTTTAATTCAGTAGCCACCACATGCAACTTCAGCATCACATACTACTCATGTTAATCAGATTGGTTCCATTTCTTCTTCTTCCACACGCACACCTCATGTCTCAAGTAATATCCATTCTGTTGTATGCACCACCAACACTTTTAACACTACTCCTTGGATTCTTGATTCAAGGGCCACAGATCATGTCTTTTACTCTCTTTATTTCTTCACCTCTTATCACATCATTGATCCTATTACTGTTTGCCTGCCTAACAGCCATCACATCACTGCCACACACTCTGGCACTATTTAATTTTCTTCTAGTTTCCATCTTATTGATGTCCTTTATATTCCCTCATTTACTTTTAACCTCATTTCTATCTCTAGACTTGTTTCTATCGTACCATGTCAAATTATTTTTACTACTAATGATTGTCTTATACAAGATGTGAACCCCTAGATGAAGATTGGTTCAGTTGATGTGCAGGGTGCCTTATATCAGCTCATTCCCACCATTTTGCATCCCATTATATACATTCCTCCATAGTTCACCCTAAATGTAATGTCATATCCATTGACTTGTGGCGTTTTCATATTATGCAACAACTTTATTTATGCTTGACCAGTAATAAGAATTTTACTTGTAATACTTGTCACTATGCTAAACAATGCAAAATTTCTTTTCCTCTTAGTATTTCTCATGCTTTATGATCTTTTTCCCCTTTACACGTGGATATATAGGGCCCATGCTCCACACCTTCTATCTCTGGTCACCGTTATTTCCTTACCATTGTTGATGATCACACACATTTCACGTGGATATTTTTAATGCGTTCTAAAACTTAAACTCGTATGCACATAATTAATTTCATAACTCTTGTTGAAAATCAAGTTAACACTCATGTCCAAACTATTTGCACAGACAATGGTGTTGAGTTTTCTATGCATGATTTTTTCAACTCTAAGGGAATCATTCATCAAACTTCATGCATAGAAACCCCGTAACAAAATGGCATTGTTAAATGTAAACATCAACACTTACTCAATGTAACACGTGTTCTTCTCTTTCATTCGAACTTATCTCTCAGTTTTTGGAATTTTGCACTCTTGCATGCCACTTATCTCATCAATTGCATTCCCACACCATTCCTTAATAATGAAACTCCTTTTCAAAAATTATATGGTCATCCATGTGATATATCTGGGTTGAAAGTCTTTGGGTATCTCTATTACATATCCATTCCTATTTCCCATCGTAACAAACTTGATCCAAGAGCTCATCCTTGCATATTCATAGGTCTACCATCCCATACCAAAGGTTACCTCACTTATGATCTTTATACTCGTAACATTATTATTTCTCACAATGTTTATTTTTATGAAGACCATTTTCCTTACCTACAACCACATCACAATGATCCTCACATTACTACCATTTCTCCTTTACCTTTCACAACCGACTCTACCTCACTTGATCCCTTTCCTCTTTCGGTTGACCAACTCCCGTATTCTTCTACTACTAATCCTCCTTAATCCCCTATCCCACTTAACTCCCCCACATTACGTCAATCAACTCGTCCCCTTAAGCCTCCTTCCTATTTGCAAAATTTTCACCGCTCCCTCACATCCACTTCAACCACTCTTCATCCAGGTACACGCTAGCTTATTGAACACTATCTTTGTTATTCCTGTCTTTCCAATTCATTTCAGTGTTATGTGGCTTCCATCTCTACTATGACGAAACCAATTTCTTATGCTGAAGCTGCTAAGAGTGATTGCTGGCTTAAAGCCATGCAAGCTGAATTGGATGCTCTTCAAACGAATCAAACTTGGACGTTCACCACTCTCCCACCCAACAAGCATGTATGCTCCTACCACGGCCCATTCTCAAGCTATTTTTCATATTTTACATTATTTAAAATATGTTCCTAGCTTGGGACTTTTCTTCTCTACCACTAGCTCTCTTCAACTGAAAGCATTCAGTGATTCGGATTTGGACCGGTTGTCTTGACACTCACCGTTTGATTACGGGATTTTTGGTTTATATTGGTGATTCCCTCATCTCCTGGCGTTCGAAGAAGCAGCCCATTGTTTCTCGTAGCTCCTTTAAGGTCGAGTATCGTGCCCTTGCTACCACCACTTGTGAGCTTCAATGGCTCACCTATCTTCTTGATGATTTACATGTTCCTATTCAACACCCTGTTTTCTCTATTGTGATGACCAATCCACTCTTCAAATAGTTGCCAATCAAGTATTTCACAAATGTACCAAGCATATCAATACAGACTATCATCTTGTTTGCGAAAAAGTTCATTATGGTTTACTTAAACTACTTCCAATAGCTTCACCTCACTAACTTGTCGACATCTTCACAAAAGTCTTACCTCCTTCAACCTTTAGAGCTTTGTGTTCCAAGCTGGGAATGTTGAACATCTATTCCCAACTTGAGGGGATCTCAAGAATAATTTGTTATTCTACACGTTTTCTTTTTTTTCTTTTTTTATAACAATTTCCATGCTTGTACTTTTCTCTCTCTTCTCCGTTTGTATATATATTTGCATACTATTCACATTAATAAAAAGAGATAAAACAGTATGCATTGAGAATTTTCTCTATTCTTGATTTTTCGTTCACGTTTATTTTTTGTTGAAAGACTTAAATTTGAGAAAAGGAAGGGAAAAAGAAATATGAACTTTAGTTTCTAGAAATCAATTTTTTTATTTTCTTTTTTATTTTCTCCCCCGACCAAATGAAAGAAATTATTAATGAAAATACGTTATCATCTGTATTTTTTCACTTTTATTTTCATTCCCTCCATTCAAACATATCACTAAGTTGTCATTCCTATAATTTGGTAAGCTTCAATTTTTAAATCAACAATATTTAATACAACGCTCCTTAGCCTAAACAAGTTATATTAATATTTGAGCATTGATAGAGAGACTTGTTTTTTTTGTTTTTTCAATTAGAGCATTACAGAGAGATGTGTAGAAAATTGAAGAATTAATCATAACGAACACCAATGCATATATACTAAAACAATATTTAAATTATTAAAGTATGGGATAATACAGGCCCACAAGCTCAATATGCGTATATACAAACCTCCAACAATAACAAAAACATAAATGTAAGTGGTGTAGAAATTGAATCAAATCAATTAATTATCAGATACAAACAAGTGTACATACGCGCAGGTAGTAGATAATCAAGTTCGTTTAATCAGCCCAAAGGTTGTTTATCGTTGGCATCTCGCTGAGCAACCTATCCAACTCCTTAAACGACACATCTCTCATCAAAAACGACCTACCAAAATCACCAGCAGAAGGCACTTCAACGTTATGCTTATCATGTCTCTTCTTTTGGCCATTCTCACTCACTGCTTCTAAAATTTCAGAATCTTTACCCGTAAGTTTCTGCACCACGGATTTGAAGCTAGTAGCATCGGTTTCAACGTATTGGGTGTTGATGATCACAACCTTCACGGGTCCCCTATTGCATCCACCACTCGACATCGCAAAAAAAGTTAATGAATCAATTCCTATGATAAATCAATTAAAGGAATAAGAAGGTGATTTTGGTGCAAAAGGGCTAAAGGGTGTAGTGTATATGGTGTATGGTTAATGGGTTAGCCTTTGTGATTATATAATATATGGTTGGGCTTGGGGTGGATTTGACGGCTGAGAAAGATGTGTAGATGAAATGAGTTGACCGTTGGTGCTTATGCGAAATGAGGGGGAAGGTGTGACATTGAAAAGTGAGATATGGTCAAGTTACGCAATTTCATTAATTGGTGAAGCTACTAGCTAGATACTAGACACACTCAAGGTCACGTGCCTCATGAAGCATGCCCTAAGTCAGAATGGGTGGCACGGGTTGCTTTCGTTGGTTTGGCTAGAATATTATCACGTGATTAGGTAATTGGTGATCAAATTATACAAGTGCGTGTGTCAATAATGGGTGGTAGAACTAGAAACAATTGAACTGAATAATAGTTGTTTGATTAAGGTTTCAAAGTAAAAGGTCATGTCAATAATGGGGGGTGGTGATACTTGTTGATTAAAGATGATAATTTTGAAAACTTTGAGGTTTTTACTTTCTTTTTTGTGCGTTAATTTTGCGTGATGTGTTTAACTTTGATAGAATCAAAGAAGTAAAGTTACGTTTAAGATACACATCTTGTGATTGTATGGCTACCTAGAGTAGGATATAGTTAAGTAATTATATATGAACTCATGAAGGGGTTGTGGGACCATCCAATTATGAATGTTAGAGAACAAACTTAGGAAGAATGAGTTATTTTAACTGTTTTTTTTTAAATTAATTAGTATGTATTTCAAATTTAGTTTAGTATAATTAAATAGCAAAGGACTCACGTCATTTAATTAAATGATTAAAAATTAAACTTTAACTTTTAACTTTTACAAATACATAATACCGAAATTAGGGATGGTAAAGTGGGTCGTGGCCCGCGGGCCGGCCCGTTGGCCTGCCAAAAATTGGCGAGCGGACCCATCATTTCAACCCGTCAACCCGCCAAGCCCATCAATCTGTCAGGCCAAATAGAGGGCCGGGCCACCACAACTCGCCGGCCCGCATATATATATTTTTTAATTTAATTATTTTTATGTTTATTTTATTTTGATGTAGAAGATGAGGATGAAGATGATCAAGAAAAAAAGTAAGGACATCTTCTTCTAAGAGAGCTTCTAATATTCTTAAAATAAAAATTTAAAGTTAATTAGTTGTATTTAAACTTGTTTTGTGAACTATCAAAAAATTTAGTTTATAATAATTTGTAAGTTTATAATTTGGTTTTGATTTTGGTGTAAATGAATTAATTTCTATTTGATTTTGTTCTAAGTTTGTAATTTGTTTTTGTTAAACATATATTATGTACAATATGTATGTATTTTTAATTTCATATGGTTATATTTATTTATTTATAGCAAATTTTTTTATTTAAACATAAAATATATTTTTTCTATTTTTTTAATTTTTATTTTTGTATGCGGGCTTGCCTGCCAACCCGCCAGCCCGTCCTTAGGCAGGACGGGCCAGCATCTCCAGCCCGTTTTACATTGGCGGGTCGGCCCAGCCCGTTTTTAGTGGGCTAATGACGGGACGGGCCAAAACAGGCCGGGCTAGCCCGTTTTGCCATCCCTAACCGAAATTGAGGTGGAAACTCTACTCTTTAGTAATAAAGAGAGAAAAAATTATAGTATACTTAAATTATTTTTTTTTTAGTACCGTTGAAATGATTGGAACAGATTTTCATTTAGGTAGTTTGAATTATTTGAAATGTTACGGATATATACAGACTTTGATGAATAAATTAAACAATCAGACATACGTATTGTTAGTTTATCGTATATGACTTCCTCTTTAAGGAAACTAAACTATATATAACAATGGCTTTAAATTAAGGTTCTCGATTAAAATTTGCTTCTAGTTGAAAACAGGATTGGCGTAAGCATCGGAATAACTAAATCTTTGTCATAAGACAATGGAATCAAAATGGTGTAAAATATGTGACATAAGACATCAGAAAATCAACATGATATATAAATTAGTTGAAGATATAATTAAATTACACTTTAGTGTAACTATTTTTATTAATATGTAATTTCAATCTTTTTATATTAAAATAAAGATATTTAATTTCTTTGATTTTTAAAATACAAAATTTTGATCTTTTGTTAAATTAGAATGTACTAAATATTAAATTTTAATATTTACTCATACTTAAGTGATGTGATATTTAATAATATGATATTTAAAAATAAAATCTTAAAAAATATGTAAATAAAATTTTTATTAATAAAATAAATATCAATTATTTATAATATATATATAAATAAAAATATTTTGTATGTTAATTTTTAATTTTTTATCCATATATATTATGTAATTAAATATTATATCACTTGACTGACTAGTGACAAATTATTAAATAATATCAAAACTTAACAATTAATGAATATTAAATTGATGATAGGACTAAAATTTCGTATTTTATAAAATAGGAGAATCAAATATCTCTAATTTAAAATAGATTTAAACCCTAAATTGATCAAATTTATGAATAAAAATATATAATTTAATCTATAATATTTAATTTTTGCACATAAATATTTATTAAAAAATAGTAAATATTTAAATAAATTTTAATATTTTGAATTAGTGATAAGTTTGAACCTCTAAAATTAGCTTAATAATTAAGTGAAAAGATATTAGAGTAGTTAAAAGTATAAAGATCTAAATTCAATCATCATTACAATTATTTTTATAATCTTTTCTATTTTAAGAAAAAAAAATTAATGATGAGTTTTTGTCCTAAATATATCAAAAATTAGGAAAAGGAAGAAAAACACAAGACTTGAGCAAAAATATCATGTCAAAGTTTCCATCTCTGACAGGACATTAGAAGGGAATAGTTGAAGAGAAACGGTCTCTTCATTTTGATTGATTCCTAATACAAAAGGACTTATTCATCTACACTTTAATTACCACCGAAAGAAAAAATAAATAAATATATATAGAGAGAGAGACAGATTTCAGCTTTATTTATTTCTTGTGGGTATCTGCCTTGACTTCGTTACTCAGCATTTGTATTTATTGAAACTTTTTAGTTCTTGGCCCAGGGCACAACATTGACTTAAAAATTTATTACTTGTGGATGAAGTGATTGCAACTTGCAACGATAGCTTTGGAACATTATGTGCTTCTTAATCTTTTTTTTATTATTATTCAGTTAAGATTAAAAAATACAAATAAAGAGAATGGGTCAATTATAATGATAAATTAGTCTAACAAATAATATATTACAGAGTGAGAAGTTGTTGATCGATTAAACGGTTCAAATAGTAAAGTAAAGACTAAGGCAATTAAAAATTTAGATTTTCAAATAAATAAAATAATAAAGATATTCGGAAGAAAAAAATTTGTAACAGTTGTTGGGAGAAATTAAATGTGAAAAAATTTCTTTAACTTAGCAACCGTCACAGTACTATCAACGAGAATGATTCAATGGACGGGTAGATATATATTTGTGATAGAACAAAAAAAAATATAAACTAAAATAATTCCTTAAAAAATTAAAGTGTCACTTAAAGTAAATATATTTAATTGTAATTACGAGAAAAAGAAAAAAAAATTAACTATAAGATAGATTTTATTAGAAAATCAATCCAAATTTTAAAATAAAAGAAGAGAATGAAAAGTAAATCTTAACAGAATTGCAATTCATTTGCAGAGATTCCCATTCTGTTATTTTTTCTGTTTTGTTCTTTCTCTCCCTGTAACAGTTTTTGTCTCTTTCTTTTCTTTCTCATTGTATATATACCCGTTCCATCATAATAAAATAATCAAGTTGTTGTTGATCTTTTATGGTGTTGTTCATCTTCTTTTATGTTGCTGAATGATTTTATGATGGTATCAGAGCTCTTTTGAATAGCTCTGCTACGTTTTCGCTATCCTTTTTCTTGTCCCTTTCATAATTTACAAAGATGGCTGACACATTAGACTATACACCTCCATTGCACAGTTATCTTTACCTTCATCTCGGAGAGAATCCTGCTACTGCCCTCGTCTCTCCTGTCCTTGATTCCAGGAACTATCACTCATGGATTAGATCCATGATTACTGCTCTTAGTGCCAAAAACAAGATTGAGTTTGTTGATGGCACTGCCTTTGCACCTCCTAAATCTAATCCCACATACTCAGCATGGCAATGATGCAATAATATGGTGGTCTCGTGGATTGTTTATTCTGTTTCCCCTTCAATCTGTTAGAGTATCTTGTGGATGGATAAGGCTGATGAGATTTGGAACGATCTCAAATCTCGTTATTCTCAAGGTGACCTTCTTTGCATTTCTGATTTACAATTTGAGGCTTTTTCACTACGTCAGGGTGATCTCTCTGTTACAAAATTCTTCACCAAGCTTCATATCATTTGGGATGAACTTGAGAATTTTAGACCTGATCCTATGTGCACTTGTTCTATCAAATGTTCATGTAATGTTCTTCCTATTATGGAGCAACGCAAGTGTGAAGACCAAGCCATGCAGTTTCTACGTGGTTTGAATGACCAATACAATAATATTCGATCCCACGTTCTTCTCATGGATCCCATTCCTCCTATTTCAAAGATCTTCTCTTATGTTGCACAACAAGAATGCCAATTGATAGGCAACAATTTCATTGCTGCTGCTGCCAAGACTACTTCATCAGCTTCTCCACTTCATTGCACTCATTGCGGAAGATCTGGGCATTCTGAGGCAACATGCTACAGGAAGCATGGATTTCCTTCTAGTAATGACAACAAAGGCATAAAAAATTCCTCCAATAAAATATGTAAGATTTGCACTCATTGTGGGAAATCTGGTCATACAGTGGACGTGTGTTACCGCTAGCATGGTTTTCCACCTGGTCACAAGTTTTCTAATATGAAGAATTCTATTGTCAACAACATTGTGGCTAATGATTGCAGAGCCACTGAATCAGATCAACAACAAGCTCCTGAGGTTCAGGATTTTCGTTTCACTCCTCAATAGTATCAAGCCTTGATGGCTTTAATACAACAGTCCACTCAAGGAAACTCAGCTTATCCTTCTCAAATTAATCAAATTGGTTTTATTACCTCTTCCACCCCCCCCCTTCCTCTTCAGGTATATGCTGTTCCATTTTTAACTCTGTCAACTCACATCAACACACACCTTGGGTCATCGATTCAGGTGCTACAGATCATGTCTCCTCTTCTCTTTCTAATTTCTATACATACACTTCCATTACTCCCATTACTGTTAAACTGCCTACAGGCCAACATGTTGTTGCTACACATTCAGGAACTGTCAAATTTACTGATTCCTTTTTCTTAAATAATGTTTTATACATTCCTGAGTTCACCTTCAATTTAATTTCAATATCAAAATTAGTTTCATCTCTTGATTGTGAACTCATTTTTTGTTCTAATTCTTGTATTATCCAGTATGTGAAAACTAAAGAGAAGATTGGTATAGTTGATGTGAATGCTAGCCTTTACACTTTCACCTCTGTTGTTCTTCATCCTTCTTGTCTGTTTTCTACCATACTACAGCCTCAATGTCATGTCCAACCTATCGGGGCATTATCGCATGGGTCATTTGTCATATAACAGTTTAAAACTTATGCAGCAAAATTATCCATGTATTCACAATGACAACCAGTTTACATGTAACACTTGTCATTATGCTAAACAAAAGAAGCTTCCATTTTCTTTGAGTAATTCTTATGCATTTAATCCTTTTGATTTACTTCACATTGTTATATGGGGACCTTGTTCCAAAACTTCTTTTCATGTACACAATTATTTTCGTACTTTTGTTTATTATAATACTCGTTTCACATGGATTTTTCTCATGACTAATAAAGCTGAAACTCGTACTCATATAATAAATTTCATTCAACATGTTGAAACACAATTTGAAAGACATGTTAAAGAAATTCGTACTCATAATGGTCTTGAGTTTTCCATGACTCAATTTTTTGAATCAAAAGGTATTACAACATGTATTGAAACCCTTGAACAAAATGGAATTGCTGAGCGAAAACATCAACATTTACTAAACGTTACAAGAGCTTTACTTTTTCAATCTCATTTAAATCGTTCTTTTTGGTGTTTTGCTCTGATGCATGCTACATATCTCATCAATTGCATTCCCACTCCTTTCTTGCAAAATATTTCTCCTTTTGAAAAACTCTATGGTAAACCATGTGATATTGCCTCACTTCATGTTTTTGGTTGTCTCTGCTATATTAGTACCATAAAAGCCAATCAAAAGAAACTTGATCTCAGGGCCCACCCTTGTATTTTTCTTGGATTTAAGCCTCACACCAAAGGTTACCTCACTTTTAATCTCCACACTCATCACCTTGAAGTTTCTCGCAATGTCATCTTCTATGAATAAAATCATTTTTCGTATCTCACTTCAATGTCTTCTACTGATTCTCCATCTCCGTCTCTTCCTAATCCTACGAATACTAATCTTAGTGACCCTTCCTTTGACATGCAAACTTCTCCAAATACATCAATAGTCCCTGTTTCTTCTACTGAGGCTGCTTCTTCTCCCATTGTTCTTCGTCGATCATCTCGCTTGTGTCAACCACCTTCATATCTTAAATATTTTCATGTCACATTCCCATCAGCTACATCACATCATTCTTCAGGTATTCGCTATCCCTTGGATTCTTACATTTCTTATAATCGCTTGTCTTCATCATTTCGTCATTTTACACTATCACTTTCTAGCACAATTGAACCAACTTCATATGTTGAGGCTTCCAAAAGTGATTGTTGGCTTAAAGCTATGAGAGAGGAGATTTTTGCCCTTGAAGCGAACAATACCTGGATCCTTACTTCTCTTCCTCCTAATAAATCAGCCATTGGGTGCAAATGGGTTTACAAGGTTAACAACATGCAAATGGTTCTATTGAACGCTATAAAGCATGCCTCGTAGCCAAAGGATATACTCAACTTGAGGGACTTGACTTCATTGATACCTTTTCCCATGTTGCTAAGCTCACTACAGTGCGTCTTCTTCTTTTTGTGGCTTCCATTAATGACTGGTTTCTTAAACAGCTAGATGTTAACAATGCTTTTTTACATGGGGAACTTCACGAGGAAGTTTATATGCAGCTTCCACCAGGTTTATCATCTACTAAGTCCAGCCAAGTATGTAAGTTACAAAAATCTTTATATGGGCTCAAACAAGCAAGTCGCCAGTGGTATGCTCGCCTTTCATCTTTTCTTTTGTCTCATGGCTATCATTACTCCTCTACAGATCATTCACTGTTCTTAAAATTCAATGATAACTCTCATACTGCTCTTCTTGATCAAACTTTTAAAATTAAGGATCTTGGTGATTTATCTTATTTTCTTGGATTGGAAGTTGTAAGAAACAGAACATGGATTCATTTATCTCAACGAAAATATACCCTTGACATTTTGTCTGATATTGGTATGCTGGCCTGCTGCCCTGTGTCTACTCCTATGGATTCTTCAAACCGTTTATCTACTTCCAGTGGAACTCCTCTAGAAGATCCATCTGTTTATAGACGACTGATTGGTCGTTTAATTTATCTCACAAACACTCATCCAGATATTGCACATTTTGTTCAACATCTTAGTCAGTTTGTCTCACAGCCTATTACTGCTCATTATCAAGCTAATTTTCGCGTTCTACGTTATCTCAAACAAGCTCCTGGTCTTGGTATTTTTCTTGATTCTAGAAGCTCTCTTCACTTGAAAGCTTTTAGTGATTCTGATTGGGCTGGTTGTATTGATTCACGTCACTCTATCACTGGTTTCTCCATTTATCTTGGTCACTCCCTTATATCTTGGAAATCAAAGAAACAACAGACTGTGTCCAGAAGCTCCTCAGAAGCTGAGTATCGTGCTCTTGCATCTACAACCTACGAGCTTCAGTGGCTTATCTACCTTTTGGAGGATCTTCGTGTACCTTTTACCCGTCCTACACTTCTCTTTTGTGATAATCAATCTGCCATTCATATCGCATCCAATCAAGTGTTTCATGAAAGCAAAACACATCGATATAGATTGTCATCTTGTTCGAGAAAGGGTCAACAATGGTGTGATTAAGTTGCTGCCAGTTTCTTCTTCTCTTCAGATTGCAGATTTCTTCACAATCTTCGCTCCAAGATGGGAATGATGAATATGTATTCCCAGCTTGAGGGGGGCTCTTAACATAATTGCATTTCATTTGCAGAGACTCCCATTCTGTTATTTTTCTGTTTTGCTCTTTCTCTCCATGTAACAGTTTTTGTCTCTTTCTTTTCTTTCTCATTGTATATATACCCGTTCCATCATAATAAAATAATCAAGCTGTTGTCGATCTTTTATGGTGTTGTTCATCTTCTTTTATGTTGCTGAATGATTTTATGAGAAAAGATATATTTCACAAGGTGGTGAATGTATCTTGATTCTAGGGAAAGTCAATTATTATAGTGAAAGAGTATGTGAAAATGTGAAAATTAATATTAAGATTTTCTAGTATCATTTATGAATGTAATATTAGCGCTCTATCATAAAAAGAGATATATGTGGTGAGAATAGATACCACTCACTAAGATAGAGAAGGGGTCACCATTGTATGTGAGTGGGATTTAGTAGTGGAGAAGGTTTCTCAAGTTCATCAAGAAAACATGTAATGTGATTTGAAATGATGAATATTTGTTGAAATGTTTCCATGAAATAAATAAAAAGTGTCAAACCACATTAAATTCATGTCTTCACTATTAATATTTGTGTTATTATTATGTGTGTGTCCATATCCTTTAATCTTTATTGCGAATAAAATGAGATTTTTTTTCCTCGATAGGCTAACAAAGTTTTAGATCTATTAAACTGTTAAAAACACAAAGAAGGTAATTTGATAGGATAATGGTTCCAAAAACTTGCTAAATAGCATTACGAAGGAGGAAATAAAACTAATATTAACAATATCAAGAAACAAAATCGAAACAAAATCATATATCAATATCAAGAAACAAAATAATAATATTAGAATCAATGGCAAAAAAAATTAATATTATCTTAACTATATGCTTGATTACACTCCCGCTCAAGATAGGGTATGCAAGTTGTATAACCATATCTTTCTCTTTAGTTGCAAGAATTGATCTTTGCCCAAGGACTAGGTAAGAAAATCAATTATTTGATTCTAAAACTAATCTTCATAGTATTAATGAGGTCAAAGGAAAGTTTTTGAACAACATGACAATCGATCTTTATGTGTTTAGTGTGTTAATGATACACAAAATTTGAGGCAATATGGAGCAACGAGAGACCACAAGTTGTTTCTTTGTCTTTCAAGAAACTATTATAAGACCCAAAAATATGCAACCCATAGTGGAGAAGCAAGTGGTTGGAAAACTAGCCCAATATAAATTACAGTAGTCTTAAAGAGATAAATATGAATCAAAAAGAAAGAAAAGGCATTGATCAGGTGTTGACTTTAGATATCAAAGAAGGCAAAACTACATTCACGTGTGGTAGATGAGAAGCATGCATCAATTGACTTAAATTATTGGCAGGGTGGGCAATGTTAGGATGTGTTAGCATGAGATTAAGTAGACAACCCACAAGATGATGATACATTGTGGGATTAAGTACGTAGAACAATATTATTAGAAGGAGATAATTTCATATGTTGTTCCATGGAAAATTCAACAGGTTTGGTAGCAGAAATACCACTGTCAAACATGATATCAAGAGCATTGTCGTTGCGATGAAAAAAGACCCTTCTTTGATCTTGCAACTTCAATACCTAAAAGATATTCCAAGTGACCCAAGTCTTTAATTTTGAAATATTTGTGTAAAATATCCCTAACTAATTTCATAAGATGAAAATTTGAACCCATGAAGAGAATAATGTTGTAAACATAAAGAAGCGGGAAAATAAAACTAGCACGGTTCATGATGTAAGCAAAAAAGTGATGGATAAGCAACATTATGTGTGAATCCAAATTCAATAAGAACTTTAGAAAACTTGGAATATCAATTTTATGATGCCTTCTTAAGACCATATTAGTATTTATGTAACTTACAAACAAGGGGCTCTCCCTAACGTCTAAAACTTGGTGGCAATTGCATATAGACATCTTCATACAAATTACCATGCAAAAATATGTTGTTGACGTCAAGTTGATAGAAAGGCCAATGTTTAGCAACAAAAATAGAGAGGAAAACTCAAACTCTAACAAGTTTAGTGACAAGGAAAAAATATTAAAATAATCAACTCCTTCAATTTGAGTATAGCCTTTACCAACTAATTGTGCTATATAAGTTTTGATGTTTCCATTATATGTGTGTAATTTTGAAAACTCATTGACAGTCAATATGTTTCTTCCCAGAGGGTAATGGAACTAAAATCCATGTTTTATTTTCATATAATAAGGCAAAAATCTCAAAGTAGATGGCATTATGCCATTATTCTGAAAAATTCTTAGCCTCAAAGTAAGAATTTGGCTTAGACTTAGTAGTAATTAAAGAAAGAAAAGTATGATCAGAAAAGGAAAAGTGATGGAAAGATAAGAAATTGTAAAAAGGATAAAGAGTATCAAGAACAGAAACTGAAAAAATGATTGTGATGAGGTGAGAGAGTGTATATAGTCATCAAAGTTGTTAGGCCATTTGTGTGTTTGTGTGGAGCAACCATGACATTGTGGTGGAAGGGGCTTGGATAGAGGATGCTAGTTATAACGGTGGAAATTCAAATTTTGAGGGGTATGGTGCAATTGGTATGTTTGAGGAAGGTGACTTACTATGTAAGATTGGTGGTGGCACGTCTTCTAGATGAAAAGGGTTGAGAATGGAAGAAACACATTGTTCTAATGATGGTAGTGGTAAAATTAAGGCGCACTTTTGTAGCATTAAGCATGTTATATAGAAAAATATGTTCATGAAAAATAACATCTCTAGTTGCATAATTATTTTTTTAAAAGATAAATCAAGTATCTTGTAACCATTTTGACCATAGGGATAACCTAAGAAAAATATTGGTGAAGCACAATTATCAAATTTGTGATCGATGCATATACCAAACAACCAAAAACTTGAAGATGAGAAAGATTGACTTTTGTGAAATAATAGTTCATGTAGGATATACCCTTTGAGAACTATTGTAGGCATGAGATTGATAAAATAAGTAGCGATTAATACAAAATCACCCCCAAAATTTTAAAGGTAAGTTGGATTGAAAATGTAAAACATGTGCACGTACAACGTTAGGTAAATATCTATGTTTACTCTCTACAACATCATTTTGTTGTGGAGTATAAGCACAACTTGATTGTTGTAAAACACTGAAGTCCTTGAGAAAAAAAATTAGTTTGAGAGTTAAAAAAAATTATGTGCATTACCAGAAAGTCTTCTCAGTAACATTGAGGATTAGAAGGCGTGTCCCGCTATCATAAGTTAACGATGGAGCAATAGTACAAGTACTTAGAATGTTACTGAACTCTATAAGTCACCATCAGATATAGTCGTAAATCATTGGCTTTTGTTACATACAAGGGGTTAAACTTTGGTCTTATGTTTGAAGAGGCAATTGTTGAGATAAAATTAAAGTCTAAACATTCTTAGAATATAAGAATAGACATAAATTTATATACAAACATGTCTCTATTAATCAAAGACCTTTTAAGAGATGACTAAAAGAAAAATCATGAAGGTTTAAGCGCAAAATAAACAATATCTTATAAATGTGAAAAACATATATACAATGTAAGTCGAAAAATTGAAAACATATGTTGAAGGCAGAATAAATTATACAACTATTTCAACACATAAGAAAAGACATAGGAACAAAACAAAACAAGAAATTATATATAATATAAAATAAGTAGTGATGGAAATAAATAAATAAAAAATAAAGTATATATTATATTAATTTATATAATTTATTAATTACTACATAATGTCTGTATATTAATTACCGCACGAGGTAAATTCTTTGAACATACACTGACGTATAAGAGGAAGAAGGAAACTTACAAACAAAAAAGTATATGTTAAATTTGTGACGCTAATAAGTCCCTGAATCTGTCTTTAATTTCATTCTCCATTGGAGCAGTCAATCTATCTAGAACACAACTAGTTGCTGACATACTGATATGAGTAATATTCTTTTGCATGACTTCACAATGATTAATTTATTCATGTTAGCAGAGAAAATATTAGTCATGCATTTTTATTTATTTAAATATATATGCAGCAGTTGAATGCAAAGTTCTCTTCATTTACAAGAAATTAAGAAGACTATATTGCATATACTACACCGCTTAATAGGCATGAGACAAGATCATAATGTCTTCTAGAAACAATTAGTCTCTTATTGGAATGTTAATTTCTTTTCCTTAACCACCATAAAATCTTAATCAACTGTATATTGTTTGGTAAAAGTTTCCAGAAGCTGAATTCCAGAATACTTGTTGATCTGTCTTTTGGTAACATAAGAGATGCAGTTCATACGAACGTTGTTTCGATAATGTCAACCGAGATTCCAGTTGACCTGTCTTTGCAATTAGCAACAGAAAGGGATGTTCAAACGTTTACACGTGTTTGACAAACTATATAATATGAAATATAAAAATTGATAAACACCTTCTTAAGTTAAGACTAAAAGCTAATAAGTCATTATTTTGAATAGTAATAAAATCGGTTTTTTAAAATAAAGTTTTGGGAGTTTTTAATATAAAAAATTGTTTTTTATTATTGTAAAAAAAATTGTAGTTAAGACATAGGAGGAAAGATCCTATTCAAATATGATGAATTAATTTTTTCAACATAAATTAATTGTTGGTATTAAAAAAATATAAACTAATTATTGTGGAAACAAGTAAAACATAGAAAAGATTAAAATCGAAGAAACTTTGACTTTCTTGTATTATCATTAATTAATGATACCTTGGATCGATATCAAATATCTCTCATGTCCCTTCACATGAATGACAATGAAAAAGAGAGAAAGAAAAAGGAAGAAAATACGATAACCAATAAATGATAATAGAAAAATAAGAAGAAAATATAACAAATGTAGAAAAGTCAAAAATCTTGTTTATATATACAAATTTGAAACTAGTATTATCAATTAAGCATACTGTTTGGAACCAATGTTGTTGTAGCTGCGTGTGCGTAACAAGTAACTAT